GAGACAAGTAAAAGGGTGAAATTCATCGGTTACTCGAAAACGGTCGCTTTTTTCGATTTTTTCGTTTTTCAAACTTTTCAGCCGTACATTTCACTTTCAAACTTTTTAAAGGGCATATTCGTGATCAGCTCGACGAGCTCTATTTAACCATGTGTAATTCGATAGGATTCATTTTTGGCACGGACCTTTTGAATTAGCGGCACCTTACTCTTAATAGAAACTCAAATAAGAGTTGTTGTGAATATTCATGTATGGGAATCAATTTCATGTTAGAGTGAAAGCTCTGTGTAAGAGCTTAGCGACAAGAAGGGAACAGCGAAGGGTCACTCTTAGTCATTTTTGGATTCCCCATTAAATTAGATTAAATTTCAATTAAAAAATCATAAATGATTAAAAGAAACAAAAGTTAATGAACGACAATAACGAAAAATATTTTTTGTTACTTGAGAAAGAATAGAGAATTTTCCTTGAGCAAAAATCTGACTCTACACAGGATAGCTAAGCGTAGATAAGCGAAAAGTAGCAAGAAATAAATCAAACGATCCCTTTATGGAAAGAAAATAAACTAAACAAAATCTCACTAAAAAAATAAAGTTCCGGGCTCCTACTAATGTTTAATACTATTCTTTTCTTATCTGTCGTTAGTGGAATCTACTGTTCTTTTTTCTTTTTTCTTGAATAATTGTTCATTGATTTTCATCTTATTGCACCAGGACTAATAATAATTAGTGTTATGATGATGATGATGATGATTTTGACGGTTTAGTAGATGATGACAGTTGGTTGCAAAGAGAAATGAGATGGAGACAGTGAGTACGTGGGAATCACCATAGCGTTAAAATGTGTTCTGCATTTAGCATTTATTGTTCATTTATTATTCCGATGTAGAGTGAACGATGTCTATTTTTTTTATTTTCGTTTATCATTATATTAGTGTAACTAATATTAACTTGTTATAGTAATTGTTTTACACGCGTATACGTAAAGAACTGATGAATATCACGTCGAATAACTTCAAATTTATACTGTCGACGACGCTGTTTCTCTCTTTTCATAATTAAATCTTTTTTTCGTTTTTGTAATGAACGTTTCTTTTGTGGTTTAATTGGAACCAAGTTTGATGATAATGATTGTTTGGACGACAATGATGGATCAAGTCGGGAAACTACTCTCAAAGAAGTGAACATTTAATCAACAATTTTCAGGTTTCTCGCCGCTTAGTGCAAAATAAAATGTCTAATTCAAATTGTTCAGAAGTTGATCTTGCCTAACATGTCAGCAATTGGCTATAAATCATATGTTCGGAGATTTGGAGTCGATGATTTTCAACAAAACTTACTCCACTTTATAGTACACTCTCTAGAATCACACATGGAAGCAAGTTACATTACAAATAACCTTAGCTACAGATAGAATACGTAGCGCACAGGATGTTGAAATGCAACTTCCAAATGATATCTACATAGTCCAGAAAGTACTTTGAATAGTCCAGAAAACTGGGTCTACAGTTAGTGTGTAATTAAAGCTTTTTGGTCTTTTGGCCTAATTAAAAAAAGTGTACCAGCGCTATTTTTAGATAGCTTTGTAGTATTTTTTACGGTCTATCTTTTATTCGTTTTGTTTTTTTAAAAGTGTGTTCCTTGCCCGCTCTACGATCGTTTTAAACTGGGTCTACACTTTGTCCGTAAGTCTGTTTTCGTCAAATCGAACCAAAAAAAAATAAACAAAAACAAAAGTGAATCATGTGGGTGGATAGAGCATTAAATTCTGCACGAAACGTACCATTAGTCTGTTTTCTTTTCCTTCTTTCGCTCCTTTAACAATCTCGTTTTCTATCGATGACTCATCGAAAAATATGGATTTTTGGACTTGTCAGCCTCATATCTCAGCCGAATGATGAGCTATCGTGTTGAAATTTTTTGTGGTAGCAGGAGATACATTAGTGAATGTGATAAAAAAAATATTTGACACTGGATCCTAGGAACTAGCATTACAGGGGAAAAGGTTAAAAGTGATTGAAACTGTCTGATGGTTTCGGGCGATAATGGATTTGTATAGCGCCCTGTTGTCGGGTTTGGCTCTTGAAGTTTGTAAAACTCACTGGATACTGTTCCGTTTGAACACAGAACCGTTCTGTCACTGCAATCATCGCTAGCACCCTGACATGTGACCACTGCTTCCGACAGACCGGTACTCATATTACCCGATTCATCGAAATACTGGCCATGAAATGACAACACTGCTTTATCCAGTTGTTTCTTACATGTATAGAAGCCAGCCTGATCACTGAAATATTGACTTGCATTCAGCTTTGCAGCGGAGTCCACTTGAAGAACACCGCCAAGTGGAAAGAAGAATAATATTGCATAATCATTAGCACCATGAAATTTTCTTAAGTAAATTCCACTTACGTCTCTGAAACATTCCGGTATGTTAATGGCTTTTAACCCAACTTGAATTGTCGACAGACCAAAAAATAATAATAATACCCAACGGTTGTCACTGATTGTTAGCATATCGCTCAATGTTCTTGAATTGTCTGTTTAGCAACTTGTTCCCACAATGTCTACTATTGTCCACTGATCACTTATAATATGTGTTCTCTCTTCTCTGTGTCTTGTATTGTTAACATCAATTTTTTCCCTATACTGTTCTTTTGTTTTCCGCTGTGTTTGAGCAAGTGCATAACAGATATTATTATATAACAAGAAACATATCAACAGTACGCACTCTTTCTATTCTTTGTTCCTACGCTTCTTGTTTTTCGCTTCACCTGCAGTTGCATTGTTGACCTTTTTCGTCTTACAGTAAATATAATAGAGTTGGCCACGTGATACAACAACCAAATATTGATAATATGCGTGTTCTTTCTCTCACTTCTAGTTAGTGTTTCTGTAGCCCAGCAACCGCTATGTTTAGACTTGCGAAAACGGGCAAATGAATTTAATATCTTCATCTCTCCTAAAACAATACATCTGATTAACATTAAGACTTTGTCTTGCGAAGATTTTCTGTGAAGGTCTAAAAGGCATACTTTTCTTAACAGGTTTTTTGGAAGCGCTTTTGGAAAATCTCAACGTTTTGTAAAATGTCTTTCGACATCTCCTCTAAACAGGATACAGAATAGGTTAAATATACAGCAATCTGAAGTTTTGTCTGAATTAGGGGTGTTCATCTAGTGTAATTTTACAAAATAAATCAATGAATCATTTATATTTGAAAAATAAATATAAATAAATGAAAAAAAATTATCTTTATTTTACAATAGTAAATGATTTATTTTTATTTATTTATTTCGACCTTTATTTAAAAAAAAGAAAGTAGAAATAAATAAATAAAAACAAATCATTTACTTTAATAAAAAAATCTCTCTATCATTCCATTGGATTGTGGATGATATGCCAAAGAGAATATATGATGAATCTCAATTTTGTTCTTTAATGCATGAAGTAGTTGATTACGAAAGTGTGAACTGTTGTCAGATAAAATAGTGACGGGAACGCCATAGTGGCAAATGTAATGCTTGAAAATCGCTTCTGCAGTCACTGCAGCCGTGCAGCTTGGAAGAGCTACGGCTGTGACCCACCTGATAAATAAATCTGTGTTGGCAAGAAGGCAACGATTCTCAGAAGGAGAACGATTTAAGGGTCAAAAGGTTTTAGTGACTCACATAATCATCTTTTTTATGCTTATGATGGACGGGAAATACTAAATGATTCTCTTGATTGTTCGATACATTTAATTTGGTGTTATACCGCAATTTTACCAGCTCGGAGAAGAAAATCATCTATTGTGAAGTTTACTTTTGTTGAATAGCAAGCGCTTAATGCACATGCATTTCTAAAAATTGATTTACACGCCTGGAAATTAAACAGAAACATTTAATACATGTTTTGGTAATTGTTGTTGTTGAGCCAATAGGATTAAATATAATAAATTCCGTGCATTGATTTCTATAGACCAAAATGCCAGCATGGTAACAAATATTTATCTTTTTTTTTATCTGATGGCTGATGTTGCTTTATTAATAAATGATTTGCATTTTATCCACATTGACCAAAATCTACAAACGAAAACAACCAACCACGAATAGTACAAACGATCATTGATAGTGTAGACTTATCAACATAAGACACAATAATATATTTTAATAATTGAAGATACACATGAGTTGCTTGTGTATCAGAATTATCACGTAAAATTTGTAATACATCTTCAGATGTTATTTTTAAACATGATTGCAAATTTTGACGATCTCTAGGATTTAAATCGCTTATTATTAGTCCATGAACGTCGAACATATTAAGATATTTTATATGATTAACAGTCTCTTTTATCCAATGTGATTTCTCTCTTCTCTACGGTGAAAATCTAGTATAATGATACTGTTCTTTTATTGCTCACTATAATTTGTGTCGTTGTTTTTATAGTATCTATGTTTACATTTTAATATGAATATACAAGAGAAGGAAGGTGGGCACAGCAATATCTTTGTACATCCACATAATAAAAAAATGATAACTTTCCTTGTTTACATGCTCCAGTTGTGTGAGTATACTTTTTTTCTTCCTGATGAAAGTTTAGCTGATAGAGAAATTCTGTAAAACTTTAAGACTCCATGTGACTCCACAGGTCTTTTAGTCCCGTGGAGTCAAGTTCGGCGATTTCGTAACCCATAAGTTGAGATGAAATAATAAAAAACAGTCCCAAACCATAGCTTGTCTTTTGATTAAAATCTGTTTGGTGAACAACAACAATATCATTCGTGTAAATATACGAGGTTGCCACTCGGATCATCATGCAGATAACAACATGTTCTTTGATTGTAAATATTTCTGAATTCAGAGACAGATTCCACCGCCTAATTTGAAAGTTTTTTTGGGGTAAGCACTTCATCAGTATCTTCCCCAATAGAAAAGCCAAAAGCCATAAAAGAACTGACGGTATTTCATATACTTTTTCTCCGTGGCGAAAATATTGACTGACGATTGTTGCAAGTACAGTTAACGATATACCAATCAGCCAACTTCGAAATGTTGAACAGAGCATTTGAGAATCATCTTTGTTTGGTACGATTCCAGCAATTTCTTCATAAGACGATTGTTCAGGGTCGATATAGATACCTTTAACGTCTTCAACCATTGCAGATGGGGGTTCGTCGAGTTCTACCTTTTCTTCTCCTATACTAGTTTGTGTCATTTTAAAGTTTCAAACTTAACAATAGACGGGAAAGATGAGTAACATTAATATTTGGATGAGAATGCTGAGTCTTGCAAAAAAGTGTCTAACATAAATTAATACACCTCCTCCTCGCTTGTGCACTTGATCTTTACGAAACAAGTTATAGTTTGGATGAGCTTTACAAAAATATACATATGGAGGGCGCTCTTTTTTATCCTACTTTTTTATCTACTGCTTTTTCATATGTAAAAACAGAACCGTGACTTATTTAGGCGTATTTTAACAAACGTAAGTATTATACTACTGTTGCAAAACTTATCCGTACGGTCCAGATTTCTTTTTGTTTCAACCATAGCTCAGCAGAAGAGTGGTCTTTCAGCAAACGATTTTCATCAAAATGTTGCCCATTTCTCTGACGATATTTGTCGAAAAAATTTTTTATTCTTGGTAATACTGGTTATTCTTTTCTGCAGGTCGACATCAATACTCGGGTACCTTTCGAAGAGCTGCAAAACTTTTCCGTACGCCCAGTGTGATTGAGTGTTTGACCTGTCAAGGAAGTTTAAAGCTATAGAACTATACCAGCGGCAAACGGAGAAGATTACGAACATTTTGTAAAAAAAGATTTTTGAAAAAACGCTCTGTCGGGGGCCGGTGAAACGATTTTGAGCTTCTCAGCCTTTTATCATTTTATTTATGTTTTTAATCAAAATTAATAACATGTTCAGAATTATATTTCAATGAACGGAAATTTTGCTACACCTCTGGGTCTTTAGAAAAAGCCTTCTGAACCGAGTTTCTACAAATCCTAACGACCTTGAAGTTCATTCCGAAAGTTTGTCAGCCACCCCATTGGATTGAGCGGGCTACTCAGTTCTCTCCTAAATGAGATGTGAATTAAGTTTCTGCAAGCCTGGACAACCGGGATACAGGGTTTATAACAGTGATCTCATTCAGTCTTCAAAACTTTCGCTTCACTACTAAATCCGCGTTATATTTTCTGTGGTTTATTTTAACGGAAATCGCAGAAACTTGGTTCACATCCCACTTTGCAGAGAATCGAAGAGGCTATCTAATGGAGGGATTGGCAAACTTTTGGAATGAACTTCAAGGTCGTCAGCATTTGTAGAAGCTCGGTTTTTCAGAAAGCTTTTCCTAAAGACCTAGAGGTGTAGCAAAATTTCCGATGTGAAAAAAGATGTGAACACAACAAATATCTTTGAAAATACAAATCGTTTCATTTCCATAGAAATAATAAATGCACATTCAAATTAATAAATGGGAAATGTCCCACATTGGCACATCAACATTGAACGATGCATCATGCGTCACATAGACATGGGTTTTTAGCCTGCTTCT